GTCTCTAGCTTCACGACGTCATTCGTGGAGATACGCGAGGGAGTTGACACTCGCCGATTCGCATCGGCGAGCTCGCGTTCCATGAATTCTTGTGCCGCAACGCGCTGCTCGTCGGGCGTCGCTGAGCGCAGCAGCGACGTGACGACGGCTTCTCCGGACACCGCCGCAAGGCGGTGGAGAGCTTCCCACTCGATCCATGTGAGATGGAGAAAGGCAGCGTGGTCGAGGTCTTGGCTCATGTCGAACTTGGTCGTTGGAAGGACTACAAAGTGCTACCAGGTGTAACGGGCCAGGTATTTACTCCGTTACTTGCTTACACTATAGTGTTGAGGAAGCTCGCAATAGGACGACTGAGTCTTAGGTTTAAGGAAAAATCAACTCTGACTTTATTTTAGGACCAAGGCCACAGCCCTGGCCACTCAAATACACGTCATAGTCCAATTGGCTAATAATGGGTCTGGCTCCCCATATATCAGCCAATGGCATGACAGCATTTCAGCACACGCTAGTCGTGTGCTGATGCACCTACTTTTGTAAAGAAATCTACCTACTTATGTAATGGAGGGGCCCATTACAATTTAAGTTCCCGAATGTAAATTACCAAGTCTGATTCCGTTCTCTAAAAGGAAACCTGGGCGAAACCTGGCTCCCTAGCTGGACTATCCATGGAGAATCAGATTTCTGAGTATTTTTTCAATCTGGGAAACCTGGACGCTAAGGTCGTCCAAAATACTTGTGTATAAGAACCCTTGAAAGGGAGTGACGGGGAAGAAAAATAGAAAAGCGCGGTAGTGACCTCTTTTGTAGTATTAGCAGTCACTAAAAAGAGGAGTCATTTTTATGCTCTGTATGAAGAGTCGCTTTGTATCAGGCGCCAAAGGATTGCGCTGTTCAAGGAAGTTTTAGGAACGTTTTACGCTCACGGCCTTACGGCGCGTACCCATGCGAACCGTTACGCTGGTAACGATTAACGTCGAGGGGCAGTCATATTTAGTCATAAAGGGCATCAAAACTGATATATTGGAAGGGATACAGAGCCGTAAGAACTCTGTAAAAAGTCATGGCTACACGTTCAGAATGCACTGTTTTCTGTACTGAAATAGGATAGAGGCGTGGGGGCGTGGTTCTAAGCAGCGATTCGTGTTCGCTCTGCGCTATCGAAGCCGCTAAGGTTGCTCTGGAGGTCGCCCGCGAGTCTCAAAACGATCGCCTTCGCACGGACATGGGTCGAGAAGCGAGGATGGGGGAATGGAGGCGGTGCTGAGCGCCCAGAGATCGTTAGCGCGTGGACTTGACCCCCGTATTTGCCAGCTGCTGTTGGAAGATGAAGTCGATCTGCACGCTACACGTACAAGCAATGGCGATTCTGCTCTCCATGCTGCGCTTCGGCGACGCAATCAAACTGCAGCGGTTCTTTTCGTTCGTGCTGGCCTAAGTTTAACAGCAGTCAATCTGCTCGGTCAACGTGCGATCGACTGCGCACGTTCGCCAGCACTACGCTTCGCTGCGAAGAAGGAGGCAGGTCAGCGCGACTTTATGATCAGCTACAGTCATGCTCACGCACCGTTAGCACGGAAGATTCGAGACTCGTTAGAGCGCCACCGAGTGACAACTTGGATCGACACTATGGGACCTACTGGGATCACTGATGGCTCCGTCTGGCGTCAAGAGATTGCTCGCGGGATCCATAGCAGTGCTCTGGTATTAGCTGTACTCACGAAAGACTACCCACAGTCACAATGGTGCATGAAAGAACTCCCTTTTGCCAAAATGCAGACATTTCTGTCGTGGCTATACAATGCGAGGATATGGAGATATCTGAAGAGCTACAAGTTTACCTGTGGACCCGCCAAGTGATTGACTTTCGATCGGCAGTTAAGCACAATAATGGTGTAAGTTCTACAGGAGATGATGCTGATCTGCAGCGGATGGCGAGGAATAGCTCATATACAGTTGACACTGACTCACATGAGGGGGAAGTGTACAGTGAAGATGATACTACGAACGTGGTGGTCAATATGGTGGGCAAGCGCGTCTTAAGCAACCTCGAGTTAGTTCCGAACTACAATGACGAGGCCTTTTGCCACTGCTTAAGGATGCTACTGGACGGTATTCAAGATCAAATCGAGGAGCATCGTGCACGACTAGCTCGGCGCCAGTTGCAGCAGCAGCAACAAGCACAACTTCCTGGTCATGAGACTGATGCTACTGTTAGCGGGGACGCGTCACGCCATGGAAGCCGTCGCAACGAGAGTGAGTGTTATCCGGAGGAAGAAGACAGAGCATTGTGTGGAATGTCTACGGATCATGATAAGCAAAGCGAGTGTGAAGAAATCGACACGTCGAATGCAGCGATCAGCTTCCCAGAGGGCCACTGAACGTGCCACTTATTCGGCCATTACGACGGATTGACTCATTGGCTTCGTCTCTCGCGTTCACATCCGGTACAGACTCTTTCGTCTTTATTGCGCATGGTGATATCCACCGCTCATTGTGTCTACGCCTCCAGAAATCGTTGCTCAAGCAGGGAATACGCTGTGTTGTGGATCAAACAGTTCCTGCGGTACAATATGCGCATCGGCCGCAAGATACTGTGAACAGCGATGTTCAAAGCGGCGGCTTTCGGCGCAGATTTGAGCTGCATTGAGCAACCAGTGGCTCCTTTATCTGTTCAAACGCGGCAATTGGCTGCAAAAGATGCCATTCTCGCCTGCTCTGTCGTCTTAGTGGTGGTGTCTCCGCTGTCTGCAAATTGCGACCTTCTTGCTGATCAATTGGCTTTCGCAGAGGACCGTGGGAAGTTGCTGGTGCCTATTCTCCTATCGCTACACAAAGTGGATCTGGCCAAGCGCTACGCCTTTTCACGCAGTATGGTGCACCACTTTAATATCTCTCTGGGCTTCGAGCAGAGCCTGGAACAACTTACCAACTATTTAAGAGTACTCCCTCAATTACCCACCGTTTGCTGGGCTCTCTAGTCGATATGAATAAAATATGACATGCAAAAGTAATACTGCTGTGAACAGTTTCCTTACTGGGGTTGAAGTTGGCTTATTTAACTTTCGGATTTGCGTCTGTCACTTTTGATTTTGCTGTATCAAGTCACAATGGATTTCTTGGATTCCATTCGCGGGGCCGTTTTGAAACAAATGGAAGAGGAAGCTGTCAACATGTTTTCAAGCGTAAGAGACTTTCGTGAATTCATCACAATGACACACCCTGCAGTTGATATCTGCGTGACACTGAGAATGTGTTGCCTTCACGTGGAGCGTCTTGAAGGTACTAACGCTACTCGTGTAGTCTTGGTCGACGGAAGGAGATGTGTGGAGGTCAACACAGCCTTGAAGGCAGTTGATGATTGTATAGGCTATCAAGACAAACGCGATGTGGTGCAGGTGACTGTTTGGGATTCAAAGATGTCGAACGCTTTCGCTGGCGATTCAAACATTGTGTTTCACGTTGGAGCTATGTACGTTCTTAATCAAGTCGAGTATGTCGGATTGTACGATGGCATCGCGAAGGGCAGTATTCAGTACGAGATGGCAACTTGGATAAGATCAGAGAGATTGCGCCTCCCCTCAAAAAGCGCACGTCTTGGTGAGGGTCATACAGCAGCTACAAGAATCAACTTGACCGACAGCAACAGCGTGATGGCGTTAATGATGAAGACTCGGGGAAACGATTAGACCATGTTGCTGGTGCATCAGCAATTACTATATGGTATTCTTCTTTTCAGTTAAAGGATAATATAACAGAGTTGTTGCAACGAAATACTATGAATTTAATTAATACTAATTGGAGCTACTGTAGACATGAGTGTGGGAGGAAGTAAGCACAGTTGTAGCATGAAATTGTAGATATGGAATTTAGGAGGTAGATCAAAATAAAAAAATATATATAACTATATAATCGTGCAGGATTTGGAGGCTAATGACTTCTTCGGATACGTTCGTTGGTAAATCAGCTAATGGATATGTTGAAGTTGCAGTAGCGGAATCAATGGCTAAATGAAGTCGTATCGCATCTCTTGGATACGTTGATGGTTCAATAACTAGAATGCGCGCAGGGTTTGAAGGCTAATGAGTAGGAATTAAACTCAATTTTACTATAAAAATGTAGGAAGGCATCGTACTAACAAACTAGATAGATTAGGGGCGTCAAAATAAATGTAAACGGTGTAAAATTGGCAAATAGACACAATGTACCAGGTTTGGAGCTGGAAACCATTACGTGGATCAAGTGAAGGTGACTGTTTATCTAGAAACGTTGGTGAGGATGCGTGCGGTGTGGCACGACGGTGCTGTCGGTTGAAGTTTGGCTGGTAGATCTAGAAGGAGTCGCAAAATGTAATATGGACTCATAATTAATGTCCCAACTTCAAATTCATTAATAATGCAGTGATCTCGTATGTATGGTATCTGTGCTAGGAAATGACGATGGACATCGAGTACTGGGCAGTGTCATGCAAGTGGGCTACACAAATAAAGTCTAAGATAATGGAAGAAGCGGTTGTGATAGTGATGGCGTTTTGAATAGCATTTCTTCGGATACGTTCGCTAATGAATCAGCTAATAGATTTGCTGAAGATGCAATGGCTAAACGAAGTTGTATCACATCTCTTGGATACGTTGACGTTTCGCTCCGAACGATCGAGCCAAAATTCCAGTAATATTTGGTGCGGGAATGCTTTAAAAATTACGATAATTTGTCAGAATTTGTGAAGTTGCTCGTAGACTTCAAGCCAGAGTGGTTTACAGAACTAAAGGAATTGGCGAGGAGGAAATGTGTGTAATATCACAATGAAAGAGTTTGTTTGCAAATTAATTATAGTCACCCTTTTGGTTTGTTCGAATATAGCATTATTTTACCTTATCCGCCGCGTACAATGGCAGTAGGACGTGGGTATCTTGAATGGGACGGATGATTCGTGCCGGCAGTGCTCACTTTTAGTTTTGCTAGCGACGAAGCAACGCCATCGCACAATTTCACCACATACAACTATGAATCTGCTAGAAGCTATCAAGAACGACGTCCTAAAGCAGAAGGAAGAAGAAACGTTGAACCAATTCTCAACTGTGGCGGAGTTTAGAGAATTCATTTTGGCGTCGCACCCAACTGCTGATGTAAGCGTTACGCTCAGCATGTGCTGCCTTCAATCGGAACGACTTCGCGGTGACCATGGAACTTGGTTACGCTGGTCGACGCCGCGCAACGAGAAGTGTTCGAGCCGACAGCAAATGCCCTAGCCGACTTGACACCTCTGAAGCGCAAACCGTATCTGGTTCAAGTGACGGTGTGGGATGCCAAACCGACGAAGTGTGTCAATGGCAAGCGCAATATTAAGTTTGAACCTGGTGCCGTGTACAAATTTTCCCATGCCGATGGGGTTGGTTTCTATGCTGATATTGCAAAGGGGAGCGTTCAGTACGAGCTCGGTAACAAGTACAAGATTTTCGAGGTCGAACCACCACTGAAAAAACGCAAGGTGGCCTGTGAGATCTCACCACAACACTTAAAAACCAAGGCTTACGAAGCGGAAGACAACACGAGTGCGATGAGTGCCATCCCGACTGACAATGATGTGGTGATGGCATCGGAGAGCAAGAGCGAGGAAAATCATCCAACAGTGGCGAAGCGCAGCAAGCGCCACACCTGAACAACAGCCAGGTGCGAAACGTGCAGTAGCAACTGCCCAATTTTATATTTCGTGAAAATTAGCAAAGTTGTTGTATTGAGAGCTGCGGTTAGCATTTACAAACTAATTTGCCTTCATAGGTTCGTAGTGTAATGAATAATAGCACAATAACCACCAAATAGAAGGCAACTTTTAACCACAAAACGAGTGTAATGAATACAAAAAAATAGTTTACTTTGGTATTCGCTGTGATGATATGCGATGTTCGAATTGAAATTGAAGTAGTAGTTTTAGGTGTGATAAAGCGCCAATAGATTTAAAATTTGCTCACAAAGATCCTGGTAGCAGCTCCAAAGGGGTGGCACCAGATCTAGAATGTGAGGGATCAAAAGAGCAGTTATACTGGAATGAGAGCCTTCATATAAGATTTGGATTACGTCAGGGCAGATCCACGGGTCCTGCAATGAAACAGCTCAAGCTGGACGAGTTCTTTCTTCGAGGCGGGGGTGAAAACCAACATACGCGCGTGAGGCAAGGTCCAAATCAAGTAGGTGGTGAATGTTTGTAGCCCAATTGACCAGAATTTCTGACAATAAATACTAGGTGTACCGAGAACGTTCCGTGTTGCAAGCATTTGCGGAGTATGAAGACGTGGCGCAAAATGTATACGTGTGTAGACCTCGTAACAGACCCACGGTAATGTGAAAGATGACACTTTACATTTAACTTAGAGTACTAATTCCTATACGTTTTGATATTTGCCTAGCTGGACATATCATACTGTAAGTGTCAGCCTCGTGCTGACTGGACTTTGACATGTGTTTCAGGTTGCGAAAATCAAGCTGTGCGTGAAATTGGCAATTTCTGACTTGTTTGCCTGGACAAGTACGCGACTAATGAATTTTATAGACACAAACAGAGTGTGTGGAAGGCCACTGCGCATCAAACTACAAATGTGGGAACCAACGAATGCAACGTGGCAGACATGCAGAACTATCGCTGGCGTCCCTACCTGGCAAAGGCATATCTTTGATGGCGGACATGCCAATCGAGCGTGATACGTTGATAGCTCAGTACGTAGGCGAGGTGATAAGTCGAGCGATGTATCGGGAACGTGAAGAAAAGGTAAGATACCGTTTAGGTGGTTGTAGTTTGTGATTTTACTGAATCTGGTACTATGCCTTGTAGGAAAGTCGGCGCTCCCCCCATACGTACGGTTTAGCTGTGAATACAAATAAGGTGATTGATGCACGCTTCATTGGAGGAATCGCCCGATTTGCGAACCATAGTTGCTCGCCAAATTGTGTTGTGGAGCGCTGGGAGGTCGGTGGTGAGACCTGTTGTGGAATATTTTCCGTCACCGCTATTAACAAGGGAGAAGAAATTACCATCAAGTACGGAAGGGCGTTTGTACGAGATCAGGTAAGCTAAGTGCCTGCTTTTAATGGTCCCTACTCGAAACTCTAACTGTTTTTTTCTAGAATCAAAAGCAATGCTTTTGCGGATCTACAAATTGCACAGGATTCATGTGAGTTGACCCAGTTCAGGAAATAACGTTAGTATTGTTTTAGTTAATGTACAACTGCTGATTTTGCATTTGATTTTTAACTTCCGCCGTAGCTGCTACATATCGACGTATTTGCTGAGGTAAATTTAATTGTAGATCGAATTTACACGGGCTTATAATATAATATAACGTGTATGTTACTACGGCTTACGAGCACTTTGAAGGGCAGTTGGAGGTTAGGAGTAAATGTAGTTTTTTTCATTGCTGATATTTTATGTTATTGTTGCTGTAGAGTAGTTTAAATATGTACAATAAGGAAGAAAACAAGGAAGAAGATGCGCCCTTGAAAAATGAAATCTTTTACGACTACAAGATCAATATGGAACCATGGACGTACCGTGGTACCCTACGCACTTTTCGATCTGGAGCATCAACGTACATTTACTTCAACGAACACAGGCGAAGTAGCCTGTCCTAATTTCGAGTCGAAAAATTTGACTCCAAGTCATTAAACGATTTGAGTCGCAATGGTTCGTGCTACCAAGAAGACGCGAGCTATGAAAGCAACCAAGCAAGCCAAAGCAGCACTACGCGTTATACGTCGAATAGCGACTCGTATAGGGACCACCCAACAACACACACCTAATCAACACGCCGAAAGACTCAACGAGGTAGAAGCTGAGCAAATGAATGCTCGATTAACACGGCACGAAGAAACAAAGCGGAGGAATTTAGACTCTCAAAGTCTCCCCCAGAGCAAGCGTCGGAAGCGTAAAGACCGTCTCCTTGATGCTAATGAGGCTGCCAATCATGTGAACGACAACAAAGGTATGCAACAAGACTGGTATAAACTGTTACGGACAGTGACTAACTCTTGTCATTTCACTATTGCAGATTTCTTCGACGCCATTGACGCACCCTTGACTCGAGTGTGCGGAAGTTGCGGAGAGGTTGCGAATGCGTATAATTCAAAGTTAAAACTATTCGACCCCAAATCAATATTCTTTTCACCTCTGTGCAACGCTGAAGGAGAATGTGAAATAGTTCCCGAAGGGCTTGTAGGCGATGCTTCTAATGAATGCGTTCGTGACAGGCTACTAGCTGGTGGCTGTAGCAACAATAAAACAATGATATGGCTGTGTGATAGATGTAATAGATCGCTGACGACACGAAAAACACCAAAATTTTGCCGGAGTAGTGGCTTTAGGATCGGAACAGTTCCGACTGAACTGGCTGAATTGAATCGAATAGAGTCAAGGCTGGTTGGACTAGGTATTTCCTTCACTACGTGCGTAAATCAATACAGAGATGGCCAAGAATTTACTCGCGGAAATGCAGTCAACTACTAGAACGAGCCGGCTAAAATGGTAAAAGGACTTCCTCGACCACTGAAAGAATGTGGAGTTGTGTTACTTAAATCACAATCGGATAATACAACGAACTATTTTCGTGTGCGGCCAGATTTGGTGAGGCGCGCCTTGTGCTGGCTGATAGCGAATAACCCGCTTTATGAGCACATTCAAATTTCAGAAGATAATCTTAGGGAGCTCGATCAAAACATCAACCAGGAAATACCAAGTATACCCATCACGGATGATGATGTCAGCGAATTACGAGGATCGGTAAGCCAACTAAACCGGGAAAAGCAAAATTGTGGCCTAGGCAACGGTGTTGAGGGGCCGAGTGAAGACGACGTTTGTCATAAACTTAATCCAGATTCTCACTGTATGACTGGCCAAACTTGTTCCGGTGTCCGAAATGAGAGTGAATCTGAGACAAAACAGAGTCATTTAGCTACTACTACTACGAGTTCGAATGGCAGTGAAAATGAAACGGATATTCTTGAAAATGTGACTGAGTCATTTGAATTAGAAGTGAACCAAGACGATCAAACTGAAATGGATCATATTCTTAATTCGATAGGAGCCGATTCTTTAGAAACTAAAATCCCGATTGGAAATATGCACCGTAGAACTCATACTATTGATGAGTACAAAACGAAACAACTAATGCAATGTTGCTTTCCTACTTTATTTCCAGACGGTTTGGGTGGTTATCACCCTCTGGAATTCGAAACTAGACATCACGAGTACAATCTAGCCGAATATTGTGCTCACTTGATGAAGTGGCACGACCGGCGCTATGTTATCCACGGCAATTTTAAATTCTTCTGCATGAATCTAATTCAACGCCGTCAAATTGACGGTTTAGTTCGACGAATTCGCTATTCTGAAACACGTGCCGAGGCAATGGAATTAGCCGGTTGTGGAAGAACACAAGGAGAAAGCCGCTCCAGTAACGAAAAGGAAGAACTTAGTGCCGCTATGAACGTTTTGAGATCCTTAAAACCTTACTTTAAAGTTGTGAGAGGTAGTGGACTATACTGGTCGAACGTACGAGAAGACCTAATGTCAATGATAGGAAATCGAGTATTGCCAACGAAATGGCCTACTTTCTTTTTAACACTGAGCGCAGCGGATACGATTTGGCCAGATTTCGCTCGAGCATGCAATCCTGCATTGACACTGGAAGAGTGCAGACAGCTCTCGTTTAATGAACGAAGGAGGTATCTAAATGAGAACCCAGACATTAGTGCCCGTCATTTTAACAGAAGATTTCAAGCATTCTTCGATAACATTTTATGCGGGAGGTCTAAACCTTTAGGCGAAATTGTAGATCACTTCTGGCGTGTAGAATTTCAGCAACGAGGCTCTCCTCACATACATTGCTTGCTGTGGATGAAAGATGCACCTGACGTTTTAAAACTATCAGAGACGGATGATGGACGGGCCGAACTAGCTGATTTTGTAGATAAACACATATCAGTCCTAACGAAGACGCTCTCGGAGCTTAGTTCGTGCCCATGCTCTGCTTGTACTGCCAGTGAAAGTGACATTCTGGCCTTAAGACCACCACATTATGGTAACAAAGAGTGGAATTGTGATTTGGCCAGACTTGTTCAGCGTGTGCAGCAGCATGAATGCCACGCAGGTTCTACTTGTAGGAAGAAAGGCAACGAATGTCGTTTTGGATTCACCAAGAGTTTACAACCTAGAACTGTAATTGAGTCGAAAACGAGTTCAGACTGCACACCTTCCTAGAAAATCCACTTACAACGTGAGGTGTCCACTATTAACAATTATTCACCGCATCTCCTTTCGTGTTGGCGTGCTAATATGGACCTGCAACTAATTGGAAACTCCTACGGAGCTGCTGAATACGCAGGAGCGTATGTAAGCAAAGCAGAGCCAGATACACTTCGATTCAGGCGAGTGATTGCAAAAGCTATACAACGGAGTGACTCAAATCTTCCCTATCATTCGATTCTGAAGCGAGTAGCAAATGCGACTCTCGCGGTTCGCGTGGTTGGTGCACCGGAAGCTATATACATTCTCCTTCGCAATCTACCAATGCATAGTAAATCCCGCTCAATCACCAAAGTCAAGGTGATGCGTCACAGTACCCGTTACTATCGCGTTGAGCCGCAAAACCTAGACGACCTTGTTGCCTTAGC